GTTTAGTCTCGACAAACCAGCACATACACAAAAGATGTTTTTGCTCAGAAAAATACAGTTAAAATCATCATGCAAATATAACGCTTAAATCTCCTCTTTTTGGACTGTGTGCATGTACTCTGTGGTTGTTCAGAGTCTCATCTAGCAGCAGGGAAAGGGTTGGTCAGAGAGTTAGAGCAAGCCTTCCTCTCCCTTTGCCACCCCTCTCCACTCCTAGCCTGCTGGAACAGTTTTGTCCTCCATCAGCTCTGGAAGATCCTGGGCTTGCTATGTACCCACCACCACCTATGATCTAATCTGAATCCTTTCTTCCCTTTTCCCTTTTCAGAGAGATGGAGGAAATTGAGATCAATGGCAACACACAGCACACAGCCTCTTACGTATGATTTCATCGCAACCTGCTCCACAATAAGAGATTATGGGATGGGGAAGCTGGGGTGAAGCGGTGGAAGTGGGAAACAGGGTTTGTTTGCACCTTCCTTCCACCCTCACTGCCTTTTACCCTGATTCCGAGTCAGAAGGCAAGTTATCTCATTTCCCTAGGGTTGTGAAAATCTATCTGGGGTGGCGTTGGTGTACCTTTTAATAGCGACATAATATGGGAGAATTTTGGCTGGTGCAGTTTCTGCCATCACTGCAGCATGACTGTGGGAGAAGCTGCCAAATTTCTCCCATCTCTGCGCATATTAAATGGCACAGGTATCCTGTCCTAGATGGATGTGGGTGATCCTATGACACCAGAATGATCCAGCAACACTTCCCCGTATATGACGGTTGATGGCTCTACCTGGCCGAATGTTCCAGTTCCTCAACAAGTCCAACGCACACAACCATCACCACTTTTGAGTCATGCTGAAACATCTCCTCTCCTGCCAACAAACTCACACCTCCCTCATTGTTTCAAGCACCATAAGGGTGTGCTATCCAGGATGCCCCCTACACCCTTTACTCAGACCGGAGTGCTTTAGGGGAGTCAAAAACTGTATTTGGTCCTGCTGTTAATATCTGCCTAGGATCAAAGCACTGCAAAACTTCCCACAACACAGGAAACATGCCAGCATGCAAAAGGGATTCTGCAAGAAGTCGGGGGTTTCATTCATGAATCCACTGGAACTCAGCAGGAATGCACTTTGCCCCCCTCCCACCGGAACCCCTACCGGATGTTATGCCCATCTCCCTCAATAATCTTCAAACAATTTTCATTCTTTTCCTTAGGCTTTCTTCAGGATTCTCCCACTGGGGAAGATACTCACACTGAACATGCCTCCAATATTTCTCCCAAGGGCTCCTGGCCAGCTCTTGTAAAGGAAATATTTCAGACATGTCCCCTGGAGTTTTAAGAAGGATCTACTCCTCAGATAGGGATCAACCTCCATATCTTTTCTGGGAGTGAGACAGATTGTCTCCAAATCCCAAACAAGTGTTTACTCCCGGGATTTGTCTTGGAATTCCTCCCTGTCATCACCCAAAAGCATACATCTCTTAGGGTGATGGAGGAGAAGCTCCGTTGGATCAATCAGAAAAGATCCCATCTCTATTCAGTTCCTACCAAGAATGTATCTCCAGGATCTCAGCCCCCTCCACTTGTTTCCATGGTAAACAAATCCCTGAGATTTAACACGCCAATCACTGGATGGCACTACCAGCCCAGACTGCTTTTGCTATCCACACTATTGCTCAGGTAAGAGAAGGGTCCTCCTACGATTGCCATGCAAAGCACAGCATGTATCAGAGGTGGAGGTGAGGTAAGAGTTCTCCCCACAGCAACCCAGTAAGCACTGACCATTCAACTACAACTGCCTTTTCACAAGAACTCTAACCACAGAGCCCACTTACCCAGCCATTTCAAAATACACTTGGCTGCTTGCCTCTTAGTTTGCTAGATCAGACATTTTTTAAATTCAGCTTTACATTGTTATTCCTGCTGCTGTTGGCTGCAGGCAGACAATCGGGAAGAAGAAATACTGCAAGATGCAGAGAGATTAGCCCTGGCTGTGCAAGGCCACGCTTACCTTGAGTGTCTACATCTGGGGTCCCTGTTGGGAGAAGTGACACTTCTTTTCTTGCATTGGAAAAAGGACTCTAGTTTGGTGCTTGGGAAGTAGAATCCAGGACTCCTTTGGGCCAGCTCTACTAATGGAACAACACTGCCAAGAGAAGATCTTGGGAAGAGGCATTTGCCCCAGTGATGGCTCCTGAAACAACTCCTTGCTTGGGGGGCTCCATCACTGAAAAGGAATTGCTGGGAGATTCCCTGGCTGAAGTAACTTGTGCTTTGTTGGTGTGTTCTGATGCAGGCAAGTAGTGGGGGGCTATAAGCTATGGAGCTTTGCTGCAAGGTAGAGATGTGAGGAAACTTCATGGTGGTGAGCAGAGGTAAGGTATGCCTTATCAAGTGGTGTAATAAGACATAGCAAGGCAGGGAGGGCAAGAGGGAGTGGAAACGTTCCGGAAGGCAGAGACGCTTTATGCTTGGCACTAGAACTGATAAAACATTCCCTTTCACCACCTCTATAGAACACAGCCTTCATAGAGTGGCTCTGCTATTTAGATTTAGTAAGTTACCTATAACGTCACACTCTGCAGGGGTGCTACCTGGGTATCTCATGCTTGCTTCCTATTCTATACCAGCTCTCCTTGATTCAACAATCCCTTGTCTCCATGGCAGCTTGAGGCCACATCGGAGCTGCTGAATAACTCCAAGCAGTGCACTCAGCCTGTGCCTCTTCGCGTCCATTGACCATTGCCTTCTCTGCTGTTCCCATTGGCCACTGGCACTCTTTCCCAGGGGAAAAAGGAAGTATGGTGATCAGGAGTAGGACAGCTGCATTTGCAAGGAAGCAATGGGATCTAAGTAGCAATCTCTGATATCAGCATATTATCTTCATTCAAGGGTATAATTCCTTCAAGAGTGCCTCCCCCCATTCTATAAGTTTATGTAAATTTTGTTGCCAGGCTTAAATTTTGGTCATCTCACTTAGCGCTGCTATAGCCTAAATACTAATTCAATAAAAGATATTCTGTTCTATTCAATGGGCATGAAGAACAGATGATGGCAGCATGGTGGCAGGTCAGTGGTTGAGACTGGCTTGCCCACCAGTTTAACTGATGGATGCCTATGTTTTCCTATTCTGATCTGACCCTTTATACACTGCCTTGAATAATATTCAAGTGCAGAATAAGCACCTTACCTTTAGGCCTTCTTTAACCCTCTCTGCTCCCATCCAGTGTTCCATCATAACAGCATCCTGCACTGCAAGGACAGCCAATGTGGTGGCCTCCAGAACTGCAGTTGAACTGCAACTCCCATCTGCCCCAGCCAGGATGGGCAATGTCCAGGCATGGTGGGAGCTGCAGTCCCAACATCTGGAGGGCACTATGCTAGCTTCTGCTGCAGTGTAGTATATATATCCAGCCATCAGAGTGTTAGATTGATTCCCTTCCTCTATCCCTACTTAGGTCAAGTTCTGGCAGTGAGGTGTAACAGAAGCCTATTTGAGATTCGCCTCGCCCACCAAGGACCTCATAGCTGATCACAGCCATTCTTTCAGTGTAAGGAGCAGCAGATGAGAGCCCATCTGTCTGTCATGAGACTCTGCTCTGCAGGATGCCCAACGTATTCTGGGATGGAGTTGTGTGTTGTTCCCTAAGCCAAGCATATCCGGGGTCAGGGTTCCTTGAGATCATAGAGGGGTTGCAGATGCTGCCCTCCTTCCCTTCCCCTCGCCTTGGCAATTCCTCTTTCCATGTGTCCTGCAGCACAATCACCCTCTCCTCTTGGAAGACAACTGAACAGCCCACTGAGGTGCAGGGAGGCACCTTGTGAGCTAATGCTCTTTCTTCCTAACAAATGAGGAAGGATATGGAGGAGACCCTACTACTGATGCTCCATCTCCCAGCCCCTTCCAGAGTGGAGGAAGCCAAGCCATCTTGCGGCAGCCTACACCACACAAGGTTCATGGGCAGGTGAGGACATGTCAAGAAAGCCTCCCTTTTTGCTCTTTGCTCCTGTCCTTGTGCAGATAAGGATATATGGAGGAGGTCGGAGCAGGGCAGCAGGCCTGAAAAACCTCTCTGAGCACAGAGAGGACATTCGTATTACACCATGTCTTCATCTGGATTCTGAGGCCCTTGAAACAATGGGGATCACTTTTCAACCAGCTGTGCCAACACAGCTGAGGTTAACGTTAAATGACCCAACCACATCAGAGGATGGCCACCTGGGTCTTTCCCATGAGACTGGCACTCGTACTCTCTGCAGGCTGCTAATCCCACATCCGGCACTCACACAACTGGCCCTCATCCGCATGGCTGGGTTGTTGAAATGCTTCCCCAGCTATGGGAGATCCACTCACAGGAAAGTGCCTCCCATGCACTAGGGCAGCCTTTGCCAAGCTGGTGCTCTCCAGGTGTTTTGGGCTACAATTCCCATCAGCCTTGGGCACCACAGCCATGCTGGCTGGGTCTGGTAAGAGACGTAGTGCAAAGCCTATGAGGGGCACCAGGTTGGGGAGGCTGCACTAAGGCAACCTTTGAAGAGCCCCTTTAAGTATAGGGAAGGGAGGGATGAGGAGGCATCACCCCTTCCCTGCCTCCCTTTTGTCTGGGGAATGAGCAAAATCCTCTCTTTCTGGAACAAAATAGCAAACCGGAACAGAAAAATCATGTGGCCTGTCTTAGCCTATGCCTGATTAGCATCCTTCCTTCGCCACTTCTGCTACCTACCAGCCCAGTATCTCCCTTAACAGTCACCCCCTTCTCTTTACCTCAGTACAAAAGCAAGTGTCTCCTCCCCACCAATCCGAAGGAGTTAACAGTGGTCCCCATAACACAGTAGAGACAATTCATTTTACACGGGCCTTTTTTCCTGTTCATTTTTGTAAACTTTTAAGAAATGGTTTTCAGTTTCTTTTATCGGGGTTTTGTTTTGTTTTTCACAGTCAGGTGGGTTAATTTGTGTATGTGTGTGTGTGTTGATTTTCTTTCTTTTAATGAGAGAGTCACAACTTCTGCTGAGCAGAGACACCTTTCCAGTAATCCAAGATATCGTGCAGGTCTTCGTCCTTGGCAAACTGGACCTTCTTCCGCAGGGCGTGGCCGGCCGCCATGTAAACCTCCTCCCGGTGGTGCTTCTTGTAAGGCCGGAAACGCTCCCAGATCTTATGGGTGCTCTCTGAGGAGTACTCTGGGCTGGAGGAATAGCCCGAGAAGTAATGTCTAGGCGAGAGCTGAGAATATGTGGAGTCCCGCTTGGACCGGGAGAGCGGCTTAAGGAAGGACACCCTCTGACTTAAGGTATCGCCGCTCTCCTCATAGTAGAGAGCTGGGAAGGAATGCCGGTGTTCACTGCAGTGGTAGGATGGTTTCACCTCCAGGTGGTGGATGGCACCTGGGGACACGAGGGGAAGACGATCCAAGGGGCTGTTGAGTGGGCTTCCTTTCTCAATGTACTTGGAGTCTGCCTTACTCAAAGGTGGGTGGTCAGGTACGTCAAGGCTGAAGACCTTGGCACTCTTGATGGAGCCGCTGGAGGAGACGCTGCAGGTTTTCCTGGTCACCGCAGCATCTGCACTGAGCTGACGCTGCAGGGGATGGTGGGAGCTCTCCTTGTAGGGTGGTGAGAGGAAGCTTGGCCTCTCCAGCCCAACAGAGGAACCGGCTGGTATGGACTGGCATTCAAAAGCCATGTCAGAGTCAACACCACCCCCTCCCCCCAAGAAAGAGGCTGTGTCCAGCTTGAGGGCATCAATGCAATTGTTGATTATCTGGTTCACCTTGTCCACTTCCTTGGCAATTGTTGAGATTTCGGCGGCTGAACCTTGGCCATTGTCCAGTTCATGCAGGTCATCATCCCGCTGTGACCTGTCCAGCCCATCCCCGCCACCTGTCCGAACCTCAATGTAATTGCCCTTGGTGGTGACCTTGGGAGTATCCATGCCAGCCTCCATGGATTTGGATGAGGGCATCTTCTCCCCAATCATTGATGGAAGAGAGGACATCCGTGAGACAGGGATGACAGGCGGCTCCCCCAACTTCTGTGACGGATGTACGATTGAGCTGGTATCAATATCTGAGCCATAACGCATCTCCAAAATCGTTTTCTTGACATTGAGGGACTTTTGCTTCTCCTCTTGCATCCTACGCTTCCTCAGGCAATAATAAACGATGCCAAGGATAATAACCATTCCAAAAAGACAACCTAAGATAGTCATGATGTAATGGGTAGTGGTGGATGTGTTGGCCATGGGTTCCTCTCTCCCTTTGCTCCTGGTGGCAAAGGAGAGGCAGGTGTGGTTATAGCGCTTGGAGTTGCGTATGGAAGCCACACAAAAGGTATAGTCTGTGTGAGCCTTCAGGTGGGTGAGAGTGACAACTTCCTTCTTCTTCTTCAGGGTCATTACATCAGAGATGTAGCTGTTATTGTACTGGACCAGCACGTACATCTTGCTGAAGGGGAATGGGATGGTCACCACCAAGGCAGCTGAGGTGATAGTCACCTGCTGCAGCTTGATGCTGGGGATGTAGGAGGAATCTGTGGTGGAAGACGCTGGAGGCTCTACTGAGAGGAAGTCTGGGCTGATGCCTGAGTTCTCAGCATTGTCCTCCTCCCTCTGAGAATCTGGGATGTAAGGTGTGGGGTTGATCCTGGAGATCAAGGGGTAATTGCCATCCCCACACATTGACTTGAAGATGGTGATGGCATTGCGGCTGTGGTGTGGCCGAGGCATGAGAAGTGGGTAGCCGGCAAACTCCCGGGGAGTCTCACACTGCAGGCGGTCGTAGTTTTTGGTAACATTGTTGAAGGCCACCAGCCACATGAGGAAACCGTAGAGGTTGCAGTCGCAGTTGAAGGGGTTCCCAGCCAGTTCACACACCATCAAGTTGCTGAGGCTGGTGAAGGTGCTTCCCTCCAGGCGGCTGAGGCGATTGGAGGACAGGTCGATGCTGATGAGGCTGGGGCATTCATTGAAGGCAGTGGGGGTGACCACCTCGATCAGGTTGTGCTGCACAAAGAGGAACTGGAGACGGCCCATGCCGCGCAGCATGCTCTCCGTCAGGTTGGTGAGCTTGTTGTAGCCCAGCTGCAGCACCTGCAGGTTGGACTGCCCCATGAAGGCTCCATCCTCGATGTAGGAGATCTCGTTCTTCGTCAGGTTGAGGTCCGTCAAGTTACCAAAGCGGTTGAGGGAGGAGTAGAGCACCACTTTGAGCTTGTTCTCATTCAGCCGCAGGTCGTGCACAGTGCTGTTGATGTGCTGGGGGATGGTCTCGTACGGAGGCTGGTTCTGGCTGCAGATAGCCAGCCAGACGTAACCTTTGTCTCCTTCGATCAGCCAGCAGTCGCTCCAGACACTGCTGGGGGCAAAAATGCAGAGCAGGGTAGCCACCCAGAATCCCAGACGGAGCATGTTGGGCTACAGTGCCCCCTTTAGGCTAAAAGAGGCAAACCCAGCAACAACAAGAACAACAACAACAACAGAATTGAGAAGGAGACTTCAAGAGGGCGACTTGATGCCCTCGGAGCTTAGCAATCGAAGGGCATGAGCACCCCAGTTCTGTTGGACGCCACCATTGTCATATGTGCCCAGTTTCACACACAGTGACAACACTGACTAGCTGTGGTCGTCAATCAGAGTGAAAGTTGTACTTGGAGGGGAAAGATATCTCTCTCTCTCTCTCTCTCTCTATTTGTGCTTCTTCTCAAAGCCAAACAAAAATGAAACGTTCAGCAACAAATCTTCTTTGTGTGACTCCTCCACAGCCTCCCCTGAACAACACCATGATGCAATTGGTGGGAGAACAAGGCAGCGCCGCCTTGGTGTCGCTGACACTCCTTGGGTGCTGCTTCCGCCTCCTCCTCCTCTCGTGGGTCCCCTCCGAGATGCTTCAGAACTTCAGATCAAACGTGTTGAAAACAAACAAACAAAAAATGTAGGGAGAGGAGGAGAACGTAGGGAGGGGGGAGAAGGAGATGGAGGCAAAAAGGGAGGGAGGGAGAGAGGGATCCATCTGTCGCTGAAATCTGGAAAGGAAACACACAAGAGACAAGAAGAGGCATCAATTAGGGGGGCTTTGAAATATGAAAAAAGACAGCTAGGTTTGTTAGTTTCACAGGGATGGGGAGAAGCCGAGCGCAGAGCAATGAAGATGGAAGAAGGGGGGGTGTATGTGCTGGATTAGCATCGCTTGCTATGTCGATAAGCTTTGGCGAAGGGAGCCCTTGTAACATAATCTTGTATATCAGTGATAGCCAGAAGGGTACTTGGGTTCTGTTATGTAACAAAAATCAGAGCCTTGTGAGGAGGGGGAGCGGAGAAAGTGGAAGATGGGGACAAAGAAGTGGAGGGGGGAGGATGTACAGCTGTGTTTTGTTCAGCTTAACATACCCCTCCCTTCAATGGGGATTTTCAGCTGTCCCTGTAAAAACAATTTCTCTCTGTGTGTGTTGTGTGCACACATACGCGCACACACTCAAGATAAATAAATAAGGGTCCTAACTAAATGCTTTTCTCTTCCTTGATGCAAAAAAGATAAATAATTCATTTGTTGTATAACTGCTCTTGTTCCGAAAATAATTCTCTCGCCTTAGCAGAGATTTTTTTTTTTTGAGGGGAGGGTTAATATGGTCTGGGTGAGTGCAGGGGGGAGCACCTTTAATTGGAGGAGAAAACTGTACAGCTGTGATGGTCACAGCTGGGCTCGATGCATGCTGAGGAATAGGGAGATGTGTCAACAGCACACATAGACAGCAGTCCTTAGGAGGTCGACTCTCCCCTTTGGAATAAAGATGTTGTGGTGATTAACGGGTTTCTTCTTTACACATCTGAGTTTACTGAAGTGCTTCCACATCCCTTAGCCCCAGAGCGGTGTGTGTTTTTTGCTATTTGGTGAATGGTCGGGCCTTGGCAATGTGGAATTTGTAGTGGGGTGCAGTATGGCAAGCTGAGAATCTGAACGTTGTCCCCCTTTCAAAATGCCAAGTTTCTGGTCCTCAACAATACAGTGGTACCTGGAGTTAAGAACTTAATTCGTTCTGGAGGTGAGGTCCGTTCTTAACCTGAAACTGTTCTTAACCTGAGGTACCACTTTAAGCTAATGGGGCCTCCCGCTGCTGCCAGGCCACCGCCACACGATTCCTGTTCTCACCCTGAAGCAAAGTTCTTAACCTGAGGTACTATTTCTGGGTTAGCGGAGTCTGTAACCTGAAGCGTCTGTAACCCGAGGTACCGCTGTAGGCTTAAAATTGCAAAAGCGATGCCTGGTGAAACCTAAGAAGCAGGAGAATTCCCAGTGGTCAGGGAGCGTGTGACGCTTCAGTGACCTGAATAGCCCTTGCTGCTTTGCCATTCCCAGCAGAAATGTGCCACCTTGCATAATTGGACCAGACAGCAGAATTTAGCTTCTCAAAGTTCAGAATTTAAGTTACGCTAGCACAGCTCCTTTATTTCTTTCTTCTGGTTCCACTGACATTAGAGGCAAGATTCCTATTGACATTTAAACATAGGAAGGGTCATGCTGGGTCAATTTAAAGGTCTAACTAGTTCAGGGATAACCAACATGGCACCTTCCAACTCCCATCATCCCTGCCCATCGGTCATGCTGACTGCAGCTGATGGGAGCTGAAGTCCACCAAAAGCTGCTGCTGGCTGCCCAATCTAGTTTAGCTTCCTGTTTCCTGTTTATCACACTTGCTAGCCCGCTGCTTCCAGGAAGTCCACTAGTAAGTTGTGAAGGCCATTCTTATCCACAAGCAACTGGCATTCATTTTCACACTGCATCTGAACTTTGAAGTTTCATTTAGCCATCTTGGCTAACAGTCATTGATATAATTCCCCCCCTCCTTCTCCTCCTCCAATAATCTATCTAACCCCCTTTTACAGCCCTTTAACCCAACAGCTATATCCATTTCTTGTGGCACTGAGTTCCAAAAACCAATTGATCATTATCCAAAGAATTTCTTTGCTCTGTGACCGACCTACACCTATGGCCAATCAGTTTCATGAACTGAACCCACATTATACAGAGTTATGAAAGAAGGACCTTTCTTTGCTTTCTTCTGACTGTGCATCAATTTACAAATTTCTGTTATAGTCACATTTTTATTTGGACTCTTTGATCTGGCAACCATGATCTTGCTAAATAACTAATCTTCCCTTTCCCTAATTTACACATTAAACAGAAAAACCCGATACCTCTGCCAAAAGGCTGTGAGGGATAAAGTCCTGATTGATGATTTCCACAGCACAGTTCTATCCGTGTCTATTCTGAAGCAAGTCTCACAGAGTTTGATGGGGCTCATTCCCAGGTAAGTGGGTATATAGCATTGCAGCCTTAGACTTCAGTGCTGGTAAACAAATATCATTATCAATTGCAGATTGGTGGAGCTTTTCTTGCTTCGAATTCAGTCACGCATCAAGTTCATATCATACTTTTTCCCCCCCTCCCCACTCCTCAACAAAACAACTGAGGACAATTGCTGTGGAATCTTGTACCATATGGAAATTAAAACTACAGGAAAAGGAAAGACCTGACAGAAAAGAAAGAAAAGGTGTTCAAGGAGCATGTTAGCATGTATTTTGCTGAGACTTAACAGGCATCTTCAATCTATTCACTCTTGTCTTACGTTTCAGACTTCCAGATTTTACATTAACAATGAAAGTGACAAGTCAAAAGTAGGCTATTCAGGTATACAAGTTGTGTTTGAATGTCTCAGTGTTCCTGGAGTATACCTGAGTCACATAATGTTACCTGGTTGTAGGGTGTATTCTTGACTCCCAGATAGGAAATGATTACATAATGCTACTAGGGTGTCCTGAAGCCCAGAGAGATTTAAAACTCAGTTCACACATTGCAGTTTTGAGAAACAAAATAGTGACTTGCCACCTGCCTACTTTGCCGTGTGATTGGATTACCCAAAGCCCAGAGATGAGGCAGGGGACTCCAGAGAGATGGCAGAATAAATCCCTGCTCTCCACCAGAGGCTCCTATGCCATGAGAAACCCAACAGCTAGTCCTGTCACCACCTCTGTGGCTCGCAGCAGTTATTCTGACCTCTCCTTCAGACTTTGAGGACTCCATCATTCATCCCCCAGCTCATGAGCGATTCATAACTAGGGTTGAGACAAATATTATCTCAGCTTGGCCTCAAGGCATACATTTTTTATTGGGGTAGAGGAAGGGAAAATCAGGGAAATTAAACATGATATTTTTGCAAATTTAGCTATGCTGTGTTTTAATATCCTCAGCAATGACCGACTGAAACAACAGCATGTGGGTTTGTGCATCCCATCAGATAGAGAGGCATCCAAGATCAAGTCGCCTGTGGGAGTAAGTCGGAACCCAGAGAAGCAATGGGAATGCTCCCCTGGGCTTCCACACTCCATCCCCACCCCACCTGCCACCACCGCCACCACTGCTGCTGCTGTGGTGAACAGCTTTCTGCAGACAGAAAACTTGCTTGCATAAGCAGCAACGTGTCGGCAGCAAAATCCACAGCACTAAGGATGCCCAAGGGAGAGCTCAACCTACTCCCCAAAGTGCCTGTACTAGATCTGTGCATTGATTGGGTGTGTGGAACCACATGATCCAAGCTACTGGCATCTAGCCTGCAGACCTTCTAGGAAGCAACTTGAATGCTCCCTGGAGATAGCATTATCTCCAAAACATGAAATAGGCTCAAAGCATTCCAGAGAGGCTGCAATAAACAAACAACTAAATAAAAACCTCACTGGAAGAAAGATCAAATTGGAAATAGAAAAAGTGAGTAATTTTGGTTCAACTAACTTACTGACAGTGCTCCATAAAGTATCACCTAAATCTGTGATAGGTTTATGCAAATTATTTATAAAATGTTTTACATCCCTCACTGTGCCCCATATTTCAAAGTGTGATGTTCTCAGAAGTCCTTGTTTAAGAAGTTTCATTTGAAACCTGAAGGTGGAGATGGGCACAGGAAGAAGTGTGATGTGTATGCAACGAGAGAATCCCAGAATGCCCACTCATATAATAATCACAAAAATAATAACTTGAAATATCTGTTATATTTTCAGTGCACCCCTGACTGAAAAGCAATACCCCTACTGGTCAGAGGGAGGTATTGCTTACCTAAAATAGCAGTGTGGGAGGGTGCTAAAAAGGAAGAAAAACATATTTTTTTTCTCCTTAATTGCTCAAGGCTGCAATCCCAAGCATGTTTAGGATTAAGATCTACTGAAGACAGCATCTGTGTAAGCATGCATTTGAATTGCAGTCTGTATGACCCTATCACCTCAAGCCTTCAAATAAGTGTGTTCTTCATTATTTGTGTAGCTCCTCCCCCTTGACCTTACTGCCTTGGGTGACCCTACTGGGAGTACGAAATTCCTGATGGCTTCGCTCCCAAGGATCATAGGAACATGCAATGATCACT